TCGGTAAAGCACCTTAGGACCCTTCCATCTATGAAGAGTATTTGATTCTACCATATCTGGGTCTTGAGAAGAAGATTTTTGAAATTTCAGTCAATTCGACCCTTTTTGGCCCCACCCATCAGCCCCTGGGGGTCAGTCAGGGATCATAGGTGCATACTATCAAACTGCTACCTAGTACTGATAATGCTAACCCAAATTGAATTACTTCAAATGGAAATTAAACAACTGTTGGTTCAAAATGTGATTTCCCAATATAAACTATAGCAAAGTGTACCCCCTCCCCAGGAGAAAACGTGTGACTCCAGGGTCATAAAATTCACAATTTCGGTAAAGCACCTTAAGACCCTTCCATCTATGAAGAGTATTTGATTCCACCATATCTGGGTCTTGAGAAGAAGATTTTTGAAATTTTAGTCAATTTGACCCTTTTTGGCCCCGCCCCTCAGGCCCCTGGGGGCTTGGGAATAAACCGGCCACTATTGTTGTTGACCTTTGTCCATGAAAGGTCTCTGCAAAATTTCCTTGAAATTGGTTCAGGGGTTTTGGAGAAGAATATTTTTGAAATTTGAGTCAATTTGACCCTTTTGGCCCCGCCCCTCAGGCCCCTGGGGGCTTAGGACTAAACCGGCAACTGTTTTTATTGACCTTTGTCCATGGAAGGTCCCTGAAAAATTTCATTGAAATTGGTTCAGGGGTTTTGGAGAAGTCGTCGAAAATGTAAATTGTTTACGGACGCACGACGGACGACGGACGACGACGGACGAAAGGCGATCGCAATAGGTCACTTGAGACTTTGTCTCAGGTGACCTAAAAAATTAAAAAGGTCCCCAGGGCCTGTGCTATGAACTATTTAGTGCCGCCTTCCAAAGGTGTAGGACAGGGTTCACTTTTTTGTCCAAAGAACTATCAAAACAATGTTTTACGCTCTCAAATAATATTATATTATTTAAAGTAGGATCTGCTGCAAATTATGAACTCAAATATGTTACAAAAAATTGCATAATAAAAAATGTATAAAATCTTAAACTCTAAAAATGTTGGTATTTTCATACACTTTTTTTTGCTACATGAATTGCTTTACGGAAGTAAAACACCAATTTCCGGTTCTTGTACACCAAAAATCTTTTTAATATTATTTTGTGCATTATGTTGCGATACGATAGTGAAAATTTCAGAAAATTTGAGAACCGGTAAATTTTTCATATAAATGTCAAATTGTAGCAACGTCTATTTCCAAATAAAATCCAACAACCTTATGACCTATAGTCATGTTTGATAATTAAACAATATGTCGCACCAATTTATTATCGCAACTGATCACATTTTCATCAATAAGATCTGCTGCTCATGATGAGCCCAATTATAAAGCTAGATGTCACACACATAAAAGTTTAGTATGTTATGTACATTTTTAGTTGTTTCGCATCTTTACGGAAGTGATTGACATATTTCATGATGATTTCATGACCCCAAGGTCTGCCTAAAGCTTTACTATATTGTATATTCTATAAGTTACACGTTTTAGTATATTTCGTTTATATTTGCATTGAAATACTTCAAACTTTGGTTGGAATTATAATGGAACAAATACTAACAAACAAAACCTTTAAACACATATTCGAAACGTGTAAAGTCATGCTTCTATTCCCCCACCATTTGCATATAAATACGTATACATTCATAGTCACGGGGTCAAATAACTGTAAATCTTCAACCGCTTCTGAATATCCTTGGTTTGGTTTGGTTAAGTATTGTTTAACGCCCTATCAACAGCCATAACCCTTTAAGGACGGCCTCCCCTGTGTACAAGATGCATGCGTGTAGTGTATGCGTCTGTGTTTTGGGAGGCTGCGATTTATTGCCTTTTGGTTATTCAAATGAAGTTGTTTATAGTTTTAAACATACTTGACACCTGTAACCTTCAATATGGGTGAAACTAATGCATATTGTACAAATGGTAAAGCATGCTTCTAACTAAATATCATCACCATGTGCCTTTTGGTTATTCAGAGTTTTTGTAAAGGTTTTAAAAAGTCATTGACCCATGTGACGTTGAATATGGATGAAACTCATTCATTTGAACAAATTCGGTAGGCCTTCATTCTCAATACTAACACTCGCTGGAATAGTTTTTATCATTTGACCCCAGTTACCGTCAAAGTGGGTCAAGGTTCTTTGTTTAAATTAATTTGGAAGCCTATTATACCAGGAAGCTACTGGCCAGATATCGTCATCATGGGCCTTCGGTAGCCCATCATCCCATTATCACCATAGACCTGTTGGTTACTGAATAGAAGATGTTTAACAAAAATCTTGATGACGGGCGACTCGCCATGGCCAAAGCCTTACTCTGCTCTTCGGGACCGACAAGCTAATAAAAAACATAACAAGAGGGCCTGTATATTTAAGTTGTCATAGCAGAAGCTTATCATTAAATATCCTGTACTACAAATATTTTACTCGCAAACTCTGTCGGCTTCATCTGTTGAATCTACCAGCCAATTATTTTTTATATAATTTTATGCTTTTTGGTTCTTCTTCAGAAGTGTTTGACATATTTGACCCCTGTGACCTTATATGGAGATTCAGGTTTTGTTCATTTTCAAACTTCGTCGGGCTCTTTCACAGGAAGCTACCAGCAAGATTTGAAGAATCTGTACCTGTCAGTTCTTCAGAAGAAGTTGTTTGACATATTTGACCCCTGTGACCTTGAAAGGAAATTGAGGTTGAAAGTAAGTCAAGGTAATTTTCATTCTCAAACTTTGTCGGGTTCTATTTCATGAAGCCACCAGCCAAATATGAAGATTCTATACCTTTCAGTTCTTCAGAAGAAGTCGTTTCAAGTGTTTGACACATTGGACTCCTGTGACCTTGAACGTAGGTCAAGGTCAATTTAATTCTTAAACTTTGTCAAGTTCCTACCAACGAAGCTTACAGCCAAATATCATGATTATAGGCCTGTCCGTTCTTCCAAAGAAGTAATTTAAAGGAAAAGTTGACGGAAGACGGACGCCGCACCATGACATAAGCTTACTTGCCCTTCGGAAAGGTGAGCTAAAAACAATATGGCTTTTCAAAAAATCTAATCATGCAGTTTCCTTAATAATTCACAACCTCGGAACCATGTGCCCTAAAGTTACAAATATAGAACAATATTTGTCAAAATAATATATAATATAATGATACATGTACTTGCCAGATTTCGATTTACTTGTTGCTTTTGAGTCTGAATCCAGGACATTGTTATGACGCCTTTTCTTTCCTTCGTTTCTCTAAATGAAGAAATACAAAAATAAATACATGTATCTTGTTGGTGATTTACGTCAATACGTAGACAAGAAATCACAATAGATAAAATCTATTTGGTGCATGGTATCCTAAGCTAGAGGGATGATACCGAAACGGAGTAGATCATGTCCGATCTAGATTAATTAGTAATGAATCTAACAACAAAGTTTACCAGACAATATAAACCATTTACTTTTGAGCTCACCTGCCCTAAGGGCAATATAAACCATTTACTTTTTAGCTCACCTGCCCGAAGGGCAGGTGAGCTTGTGCCATAGGGCGGCGTCCGTCAACTTTTCCTAAAAATCGCTCTACATAAACGACTGAACAGATTTTGACCAAATTTGGTCAGAAGCATCCTTAAGGGAAGAGGAACACATTTTGTATAAATGGTGGGTCTGGGGGCTGAGGGGCGGGGCCCAATAGGGGAAATATAGCAAATTCTTTAAAATCCTTCTTCTTCTGTAGGAATGAAAGGATTTGTTCCATATTTGGTCTGAAGCATCCTTGGGTGAAGGGGAACACATTTTGTATAAACTGTGGGTCTGGCCCCCGAGGGGGCTGAAGGGTAGGGCTAAATATGGGAAACATAGCAAATTCTTAAAAATCCTTCTCATTCTGTAGGATTGAAAGGATTTGTTCAATATTTCAATATTTGGTCTGAAGCATCCTTGAGTGAAGGGGAACCTATTTTGTACAAAACCGTTGGTCTGGTCCCCAGGGACCTGAGGGGCAAGGCCAAAAGGGGGCAATTGGGATATATTGATTTATGGAACTAAGAGATGGATATCAACAATATTTGACTTGAATCATCCCTTGGTAGTGGAGATTCAAAATTGTACAAATGGTGGGGCTGAACCCCCCCCCCCCCCCCCCCCCCAGGACGGGGCTATACAGTTTGACGATGACAGGACGGGGCTATAGTGTGACGATTACAGGACGGGGCTATAGTGTGACGATTACAGGACGGTGCTGTACAGTTTGAAGATTACAGGACGGGACTGTACAGCGTGACGATAACAGGATGGGTCTGTACAGTGTGACGATTCCAGGACGGGACTGTACATTGTGACAATTACAGAATGGGACTAGATTGTGACGATTACAGGACGGGGCTATACAGTGTGACGATTACAGGACGGGGCTAAACAGTGTGACGACTACAGGACATATTTATGACAGCTTTCCTTGGTTATAGAGAACTCGCTCAGTAATAGAACTGTTAGGTGAAAGATAAAGACAAGTAATTTTAGTTACTAACTAACCTTCCACTTCCACTGCGACATTTTGTAGACGGTTGAATTGCGATGCTTCATCAGTGAAATAAACTGTGGTTGGAGGCACATAAATCTGAGACAATGTATTTACATGTATACTGTAGTTACGTTAATTTAATGACAAAACACGTGCTTATATTAACCCTGCTAGTGTGCAGTCACGTGTCTTAATCAAGGAGTGCAACTCTAATTAAAATATATTTTATACGTTCACTTCCCCGCATGCACATGAACAAGTATAGCCAAGTTTCCTCCACGCGGTACAAAGGTGTAACGTGAAGTCACGGTCAAACATGCAGGAGGAATAGCGTACCGGTGACACGTTGAGATCACATAACTCTACAGGAATATGTATTACGCTCGCCTATCGCTCCACGTTCACAGCAAACGTGTATAGCCGGTGGAGAATGGATGGGTTATTCTCCACGGTGGAGACTGAAGTTGACTTTTTTATACCTCCCCTCCACCCTACAGAACTACATCGCGAAACGTGGGGATCGTATGCCACCACGCGGTGTGTAGTGTAATAAGGAATCATAGAAGTTGGTGTAGAGTGATAAATATACTTACGGTAGAAGCAATGTCTTCTGCAACGTTTGAACCAGTTTCTGTGAGAAAAAAAAAATGAAACTGATTGCTGGAACGAATTTAATATACAGCAACGGAATTGTGAAATCAACGTCTCCTCTACTTGTGCAGCAGCAGGACAAAATATTTTACACATAACAATATCATTATTTTTATTATTTGATTCTTAACGGCCCGTCAACACGAAATAGGTAATTAGGGCCAATACAAGTAGATAAAACATGTTAAAGGAAATTACATCAAACGAACGAAAAGGTGAAAGACAAACGTCAACTTGAAAAAGGCTGAAAGTGCCTATAATTAAGTTATCTTTTTGAACAGATCAAACAGTTTTTAGTTAGGTTAGAATTGTAGAGATACTGACTGTTACGACTGTTACATCATTATAATTTAATCTTGCTTGTTACAAGCATTTTCATTGGCTTAAACAATTATGTTATCAGCCAATAACGTAAAAAAAATGACGTCGCCGTTTGTAACGTCGCTTTTGATTGGCTGGTGGATTTCCACAGGGATTGTGTATAGTAAATTAAATTATAAGGATTAACTTGAATATAACATAAAAAATATATTCAAGTGAATCCTTTACCTCTATTTCCCCTATTGGCCCAGCCCCTCAGGTCCCAGGGGGCCACACCCACCGTTTATACAAAGTGGTTCCCCTTTACACAAGGATGCTCCACACCAAATATGGACCAAATCTTTTCTTTCCTACAGAGGAAGGATTTTAAAGAATAATTTGCTATGTTTACCCTATTGGGCCCCACCCCTCAGGCCCTTGGGGGTCAGACCCATGGTTTATACAAAATTGGTTCCCCTTCACCCTAGGAGGCTTCAGACTAAATATGGAATAAATCCTGTCATTCCTACAGAAGAAGAAGAATTTTTAAGAATTTTCTATATTTCCCATATTGGGCCCCGCCCCTCAGCCCCCAAGGGGGTCAACACCAAACACCAAATATGGAACAAATCTTTTCTTTCCTACAGAGGGAGGATTTTAAAGAATAATTTGCTATGTTTACCCTTTTGGGCCCCACCCATCAGGCCCTTGGGGGGTCAGAACCATGGTTTATACAAAATTGGTTACCCTTCACCCAAGGAGGCTTCAGACTAAATATGGAATAAATCCTGTATTTCCTACAGAAGAAGAAGGATTTTAAAGAATAATTTGATATGTTCCCCTATTGGGCCCCGCCCCTCAGGCCCTTGGGGGCCTAACCTAAGGTTTATACAAAAATGAGTCCCCTTGGCCCAAGGATGCACCAGACTTAAGTAGGTTAAAATCCCTTAATTCCTACGGTAGAAGAAGGAATTTGAAATTTTTAACCTCTATTTCCCCTATTGGGCCCCGCCCCTCTGCCACCAGGGGGGCCACACCCACCATTTATACAAAATTGAGTCCCCTTGGCCAAAGGATGCTCCATACCAAATTGGGATAAAATCCTTTAATTCCTATGGTAATAGTAGGATTTTAATGGCTATTTCTCCTAATGGGCCCGCCCCTCTGCCCAGAGGGCCAAACCCATCATTTATACAAAAATAAGTCCTCTTTGCCCAAGGATGCTCCAGACTAAATTAGAATAAAATCCCTTAATCCCTACGGTAGAAGAAGAATATTAAAGGTTTACCTCTATTTCCCCTATTGGGCCCCGCCCCTTTGGCCCCCGGGGTGCCACACCCACTCTTTATACAAAATTGAGTCTGCTTTGCCCAAGGATGCTCCAGACTAAATTATGATAAAATCCTTTAATCCCTATTGGGCGCCGCCCCTCTGCCCCGAGGAGGGCCACAACCACCATTTATACAAAATTGCTGCGGTATGGCACAAGCTCACCATGGTCCTACGGACAAGGTGAGCTAAAAATCATTCGGTAATATTTTCCGGTCGAGCCTTGGGAATGCACGATTGCACTATTGTTATATGGATTGGGGTTTCACAATACACTCTGAAGGTTTTGTCTACGATTTAGATATCTAGAATAACAGGTATGCACAAGGTTTTGAACAAGTGAATGACGCGTACGATTACGACTACTGGTGTATTTAAATAAATATGAGGACAAATTTGCAGTTAAAGAATTTGTTTTAATTTTAGCTTCCTGTGTATAAGGACACTATTTGTTTATACATTGGTTAGCTCACCGGACATGCCATACCGTGCGTCAACAATTTCTTCAAATGACTTGGATTGGAATTGAACTAAATTTGACGGGAAGCATCCCTTGGTTAGAAGAAGTCATGGGTGATGGTGATTCAAAATAGTTTAGCTATATTGCTATAAACGACTTTTTCTGTAGAACTATGCAATGGATATCAATCATATTTATTCAGAAGTATTTGTGGGAGGTGGGGATTCAAAATTGTTCAAATGGTGGGGCTGTGGGGCGGGCCAAAAAAGTTAATTTTTGCTATAATGCTTTAAAGGACTTCTTCTCTGGAACTCAGGGATGGATATCAACCATATTTGACAAGAAGCATCCGTAGGTAGTAGGGATTCAAAATTGTACAAATGTTTAGGCTGATCCCCCAAGGGGCTGAGAGGTGGGGCCAAAAGGGGGCAATTTGGCTATATTGCTATAAACGGCTTTTCTGTAGAATGATGCACTGGATATCAATCATATTTTGTTGGAAGCATTCATGGGAGGCGGGGATTCAAAATTGTACAAATCTTGAATGGCTCCGGGGTTTGCCCCACCCTTGGAGACTTAACCCCTGTGTCATAACTTCGAAACGGATAAGATTCCCACCCAAAAATATATAAACAGTTGTTGGGTATAAAGAGATAAATGCAGTCATGATAATATAATTGACCCCGGGGTCTGCCCCACCCTTGCAGACTTAACCCCTGGATCAGAACTTTGAAACGATTGAAATCCCTACCCCAAAACTATATATATAAATGCTAGGCATAAGAAGACGAATGCAATCATGATATTGTAATTGTTCCTTGGGTCTGGCCACAACCCTAGGGACCTAGTTTCTGAGGCACACCTGAGATCCCCACTCCTTAACCATACATAAAATTGCTGGGCATGCAAAAAAATCTTATACAGATATGCTACAAGGATTGGCCTTGGGGTCTGGCCTATTACCTTTAATCTTATTTGGAGAATATTTTGCCATGATTGCTTAGATAACCAGGTGAGCGATGCAGGCCCTATGGGCCTCTTGTTGAGTAAAAGGCCCATTAACATAGAAGAGGTTTTTAGGGCCAATAAAAGGTAGATAAAACACACAAAAGGAAACGACATCAAACAAAATAAAAAGAGACAATTGACAACTTGAAAAACAAAAATAGTTTTGGTTACTTAAAAAAGAGTCCAAATGGGCCTAAATCGCTCCCCTTATAATAATCTCAAACTTAAAAGTGGACTAAATTACAGTAACAAGGAAAATATCATCCTTTCACCCAGCATGCTACTGGCCAAATATCATCGTCCTAGGCCTCTTGGTTATTCAGAAGAACTTGTTTAAGGTTTTCAACATATTTGACCCCTGTGACCTTGAATATGAGTGAAGGTCTTTCAATTGATCAAGCTTGGTAGCCCTTATTTCCAGCATATTTCTAGCCAAATATCATCACACTAGCGAAAAGTAAAAAAAAGTTCACGCCGGATGACGGACGTCGCATAACGGCATAAGCTCACTTGCCTTTCGGGCAGGTCAGCTAACAATTTTGAATAGATCGACAATGTTTAGGTAGGTAAGAATTGTTGTGATTTTCACCATTTCGATGACAGTTTTGTTATATTGCTATAACAATGTCTCGTGTAAGATCTTGGGATTGGTCCTCGCGTTTCTGTAAATAAGAATGGGTAATGTGTGGATTGAACTACACCAAATTAAACGTTTGCCAATTTGAAGAATGGCTAGGGATGGGCTGACCTCATGCGGGACAAACCAAACTTCATAAGAAGGATAGATCCTTACCATTCAGCTTTTATGGATAATGGCCTTGTTTTTTGTTTGTTTAGATTTACGTCCACTATGGGTGATATGAGGACGGGTACATATGTAAACAGAACAGAAAGTAAATAGACAGAAAAGAATGGAAACTAAAAATATCCTAAATGTTGCAATGGGGTAAGCAATTTTGGTCTCTCCCGTGTATCCTTTGCAGAAGACATGTTAGAAAAAAACGATTCTTCAGAGGGCCCACTTTTGTCGCCTTTTACGATTCACATGCATTGGGATACAACAGACATATTCTTGTTTTCTTCAATGTCCCCTTTACAGAAGGCAAGGGAGAAACAGTAGTCGATTCTGGAGGTATTTCAGAGAGGTAGCAGTATAAAGTTGGCATCAGATCCGCGCTATCACAAGGAGGAAAACACACCAACATACCTGGTCTCTGGCACATATACACAGATGCACTCATACACAATACACATGGAGACAATGTTTTTAAATGACCATTGCTTTTGAGAGGACGTTAAAAGCCTGAAATACCACCAACCACGAACCAATCTTTCTAATTTATTTTATATTGTAATAAGACGTTTGTCTTAACACAATAACCACAACGTACCTGTATATTTGTCTATACGTCTTGATGGATGCAGACGTTTATATGCACTTGTATCAGCACCTCTGATATGACCTTGTACTCTATTCCTTAAAATCATGATTCTAGAATAAAGAATTAAAAAACAAATTGAGTACACAAAAGATAAAACTTTGAACAATAGCGATATTCATATTTATTTTAAGGGCTTTTATCTCACCTGCCCGAAGAGCTAGTGAGCTTATACCATGGTGCGGCGTCTGTCGTCCGTCCGTCCGTCGTCCGTCAGCTTTATCTTAAAACGACTTCTTCTGACAAATAGACAGGCCTACAGTCATGATATTTAGGTGATAGCTTTGTTGGTAATAAATAGCCCAGCAAAGTTTGTGACCTAAACTGACCCTGACTTTCACTTGTCTATAAGATCCCGATTTGTAAAGACCTTCTGTTGTCATAGTTTATTTTTCAGAGATTTAAAATAATATATAAACATGACATACGCTCATATCCACATACACACATGTATTTTCATAATCATCATCATCTTTTAAAGACTTACTGTTATACACCAGAACATTTCTCACAGTTGCCAATGCATCATAGATTAACGGGAATGTTTTGGGTTTCAATAATTTAGTAACTTATTCTTTTATTAAATTTATAGTTCAAGTAGAAAGTATTTTATAACTAGAGTTAAATGATGCACTTACACTTGAATCATGCATTTGACTATGACCTACAATTCTAAGCTTTATGTCTCCAAAATTTCCCTGGTCCAAAAACCCGACTTTTGCAATTTTGACTGACAGATGTCTGCACTACACATGTACATCAATTCGTCAATAGTGTGAGTGTTGTGATCATAGGACACTCTTGTCAGCCTGCAGGTTCAAATGGTTGTATATTAAACTATTCAAATATATTTATATTTATATGACCAATTATTAAATATGGTCAAAATTTTGTTTTAATTTAAATATGATTGATTGAAATAAAATTGGTGTCTATTGTAATGAACTGTTAATACAGTACATAGCTGTCACAAATTGGCTGCGATATATCGAACTTAACGACAGCTGAAACCACACTTTGATACACTTGCTTGACAAATGACATGACAGGCCTACTTCTATTGAATTCAACTGCTAAATTGTATCAGATATTAATACGATTATCTATTGTTAACGTAAGCATGTAATGGACTTTGAAAAATTAGATGTCATATCATCTCAGCAGAAAGAAGTATCGTTTAAATGCATCAGTTCCATGTGTATAATCCATGTGATCGTGAAAAACCTTTAACCGCTTGACCTGTGACCCGACGCTTTTGACAACTTGCAGAACGTCTATAAGGGCCCGCCCCTGAACCCCCAGGAGGGCCGTATCCTCAATGAATACAAAAATTGAGTCGTCTTGCCCAAGGATGTTCTAGACAAAATTCGGTTAAGATCCATCGATTTGTACAAAAGGAGAAGAATTCTTGAAGATTTACCTTAATTTCCCCTCTGCCCCCCGTGAGGATGGGGATGGGGCACATCCTCAATTAATACAAAATTGAGTCGCCTTTGCTTGAGTATGCTCTACACTGAATTCGGTTGGAATCCCTCCATTCATCCAGAAGGATTCCACTATGTTTTCCGTTATGGGCCTTTCTCCCAAGGGAAGCTTCTCCCTCCCTTTATGCAAAACTGAATTCCCCATGCCCAAATCCGTTCTAGACAAAGTTTGGTTAAAATCCATCTGTTTATACAGAAGGAAAAGAATCTTAAATATTTACCTCAATTTCTCCTAATAGACCTATGTTAATTCTCTCCCTAGGCGGGCCCCATCATCCATTTATGTAACAAAAGGAGTCCCCTTTGACAAAGAATGCTCTACACCAAATTCCTCAATTCATTCAGAAAAAGAGGGATTTTAAACTTTTTCCATATGTTCTTCCTTATCGGCCCTGCCTCTCTGCCCTAAGGGGAACCCAACCCTCCGATTTATTTGATCCTGTATCAAGTGGAGCACGTAACTAATTCCAAAATAGAGCCTTTAATTATATAAATGAATATTCAAAGGGTAACTGGAACCTTTAACAATCACTTCAGTTTTATTCCACAATTCAGTATCAATACAGTTGCGTATGCTATGCTATGTCTATAGAGTGATTTAAGTTTATCAGAAATCTGAGCTGAACGTTAGATTTGACTTGTTACGATTTTTCCGCGGAACGAATTTCGCGCATGGTTACAGTAAACACCGTGAATCCGACCTTGCCCTCCACGAGGGAGTTATTTTTAGAAGTTGAATAAGCAAAGAGAAAAGTTCGAATTTGTGAAGAATCCAAACGTGAATTTATTTGTTGATTGTATGCGAACCCGACTACAGTCGATATTTTCTACAACAGCCTCGTTATTTGACATGCCGTCAGAAACTGAGGAAACCGTGGCTGAGAGAAGCGCGATACTGATAGCGTTTGAAGTGAGTGATCTTGCGACGGAGGACAGTAACATCAGTTTCGAATATATAAATTAGTAAAATAAGACTCCCCCCTCCCTAATGCTGCTTTCTATTATCTGATTTTTTTAACCGGTGACCAGGAACCCGGTGTATACGACAGGCTTCTGGTCGGTCGATCAGTTGGGTGGTGATTTAAACATATTTTATTGCATAAATGAAGCAAACGGATTAGGCACAAGTTATATCAACATTACAAAGGCCCTCTCCACAATCAATTTTACATTAATTGAGAAATAGCATAATTTGATTACAATGAATACCATTTACACATTACACATTAACTAAACCTTTGGCTGGATTGTATGTACTTTTTGCACATTTGTAAAATTTTGTTTGTTTGTTTGATTTTGTTTAACGTCCTATTAACAGCTAAGGTCATTTAAGGACGGCCTCCCCTGTGTGCAAGATGCATGCGTGTAGTGTATGTGTGTTTTTTCGTAGGCTGCGATATGTTCGTGTTTATCTCCTTGTGATAGCGCGGAACTGATGCCGACTTTATAGTGCTACCTCACTGAAACATACTGCCGAAGACACCCAGCAGGACGCCCCACCCGGTCACATTATACTGACAACGGGCGAACCAGTCGTCCAACTCCTAAATTGCTGAGCGTTAAGCAGGAGTAGAAACTACCATTTTTAAAGACTCTGGTTTGTCTCGGCCAGGGGACAGAACCCAAAGCCTTCCTCACAGGGTCGAACGCTCAACTAAAGGCCAAAAGAGAGGCATTGTCAAGGGAGACATTAGGAAGGAGAAAGTTGTTTAGAAGGGAAAGAAAATATAAGATCCCAAATTTAGTCGCCTCTTACGATTATGTATTGGGGGCAGCACACACAATTATCACGCCCTACCTGCAGGGACTGACCTCTGTAGAACTATGCACTAAATCATATTTGGTCGGAAGCATTCATGGGAGATAGGGATTTCAAATTGTACAAATAGTGGGGCTGACCCCTCGGGCTAAGGGGGGAGTGTGGGGGGAGTGTGTAGGGGGGGGGGGGGGGTTGCAAAGATAGTTTATTACAGTGACACCTGCTTATGATGATATTCTATTTGCTAGAAAAAAATATCATAATAACCGATCGCGCTGTTTTCGATCGTTTTTGTTGTCTGACCCGGAAGTGAGATGCCCTATATAAATCAGACATATATTGGAGTAGAAACATCGAAAACTATAAATACAAAGGGATAAAGTAATAATCGAAATAATTTGTTCATTGATTAATATCAGCGTGTTGAAAAACTCGAGATATCGTTTTGCCGTCGTAATGATCAGTATGATAATTCTACTTTCACTTTTAAATAACTTCCTAATAAGTTTCCTTATACTATATCCTAGCTAACGATATTCAAATGACAGTCAATATGATGAAATAAGTCATGATTACCCTCTTTTGCAACCAGAAATATTTTGCCGCGCTATGTCAATTTACGATCATGTGACAATCACATGCCTCGCGAGTCGTGCGGTGAAATCAACTTGCAAAGAAACAATTACAAATAAAAAACACAAAATAGTCCCTTTTTAACAATAACCACATATTGAATTTAACGAAAATGGTGTATATTGAGAATAAAGAAGAAGTCGTCAATTGTTTACGACACTAACGTTAACTTTGGATTGATTTCCGGCACCATGCTGTCAGGGCGGTATGTCCCGATTTGACACTTTTTCAAACGGAGACACGGGGGAAATCGAATTCTAACGCAATAGAGAAACTATTGCTCAAATGATTAAAAACACACTTGTTCCAGCTGAAGTAATATTTTCATTGAAATCGACATGATTCTCTGAAATGATATGTCAAGGTAACCGTGAATATTATGAAAGGCATGCTCGTTTTCTTATCGGTATTTGTGTTCGGTAGGCCTAATAATTTCAAATTGATACACAGTCCAACTGCAATTAGATAGCAATTAACTGCACCACATGTTTTGTTAAGACTAAAATGTATGACCAGCAAGCGATGGTCGATCTATTGTTTTCCGCTGACTGGGGTGAAGCGAGGTGTGACAAATTTACCTGGAGAGGACAGGTGTTCACCTCGGGCGATGTACAGTTAGCCGGACCTATTACTTATTGACCAGGTGTTTCACACGGACAAATTACCTGCGTTTTTACCTTATAAAAATCCATTCACGGTAGGAAAATAATATCATTATTTTTTTGCTTAGTTAAAGAAGGAGAAAATCGGTATATGGGTAAAAATATCATAATAAGCGATACATCATAATAATCGATATCATAATAAGGGCTTGGCTTGTTCTCGTTTCCCCCACTTTTTAAAAAAACATGGGGGGAAGAATGTTGTTGGCAGTATCCACCTGTGTTTTAGCCTGTGTTTACCTGTGTTTCTACCTGTAGTTAACCCTTCTATCTAAGGTGGTGTTTTATCATATTTAATTTAATAATACATTATATAAGTTTTTTTCAGATTTTTAATGACAAATGTTAAAATTTAAATTATTTAAATATTAATCATATATATAAATATATATATTCAGTATTAAATATATCCATTTTGTAGTCCTTGTGCTGCTGATATGATAAGATGAAATGTGTTATTTCATTTTCTAGTATTTTAAAAATATTAATGATGCCACCTGCCCTGCCACAATGAC